TCTGTATGTCTGTCCGTCTGTCTGTCTGTTACCGCATCACAGAAAATCCACTGGAGGGATTTTGATGAAATTTGGTTTGATAATAGCTGGTTATCCGGGTCAACATATAGGATATTTTTTACTGTGAAAATATCTCAACTCTGAGAAATCTATACTAAACTGTTAAATAAAATTAGCCTATCCTTATGAACATTCAAAATATTTATAAAAAAATAACTATTTTTAAACACGTTTAATAAACATATAATTAATAAACATATTTTATTCACTCAAAATATTTTTTCCACTTGATACACTTTTAAATTTGCACTAATGATTTTTTTATAACTGCACTATATTCCATACCGTTACTTCCTGTTAGAGATCACAAAATTAACTGAGCATTGAGCGGTATATGCCCAATTTTATATAAGATTCACCCTCAAGTTATTCGCAAAATTTATTTCTCACGGTCCCCGATACCTTAAACTTTGACCCGAAGATGTTATTGTTCTCTTAACAATTGGAGATACTTCCGATTCCCCTTCGCTCATCAAGGTATAGCTCTACATTATAAGTTCAAAGTATATCCGCTAGATGGCAGAGTTTGAATAATTTGTACACATTTACATATATTATTCGACTTGTGATTATGTAATTTTAAAGTGTTAGATATACTCGTATTCTAGCAGTAGATAAAACATAAGTAAAATTTTCTTTGTTATTATTATTATTATATATGTATTACGTCTAAGTTATTTATGTTATTTCATACAGAATTGGAAACTTTTTTAATACAAGTAATAATATTTTTCATAATTTAATAGAAATATATATATACATATTTGAAAGCCATAAAGTAAGTCCGGACAATCATGTCGCACGCGGCGCACGCGTATACATTTCACTGGCAATTACTCAAACGATACTCTATTAGATGCCCCCATTAACTTAAATACATTATAATACGTAAAATTTGCGCTAAATAATTATATTAATAATACATGTTCTGCTGTGTTATTAATTAAAGAATTAACAAAAACTAAACCGAATATGACATATAGGTAAATAGGTAAATACTGCGCAAAAATGACCAATTTGCTAACCTAAATATCAATGATAATAGTATATAATTTTTCAGATAATTATACGAAAGTTAAGGAAACAAATTATAAACTTAATTATCTCCTTAACATGCACAACGCTTTGCTTTTGCAGTTCAGTTTTAAAAAAGAAAAAATTATAGGTAGTTAAATGTCAATGTCAAAAAAAGCCCGAAGCAACAAAACAAGAAACATCCAAAGTTGATAATTCGAACAATTTCCAATTTCATAATTGGCATACGATGTATGACGCGAACGCCCGGTGCTCGAGCCGTGGGAACGGCGACAGTTGCTCGCGCGCCACCTGCCCCCCTTCTATAAAATAAGAAAATTCTAATTTACGTACGATTTATTTGACCTTAATTTTTTGTTGATTCACATTGTTGTTTATGTTATGCTGATGTTATGAAACCAGACTTGATTTGTTTCTTATTTTTAATGCTCTTACATATTCTTCTTTGCACATAGTACAATCCTATTAATATTATAAATGCGAGAGTTTGTGAGAATGTATAGATATCTATATGTATAGACGTATGGATGTTTGTTACTCTTTGACGCAAAAACTACTGAATGGATTTTAATGTAACTTTACAATAATATAGCTATAATACATCAGAATAGCACATAGACTACTTTTTGTTCCGGAAAAGTGTGCGGTTCTCGTGCGATAGATTTGTTTTTGTTTTTCTAGAGGTGAACCTTAGCGAAGCGAGGGTGAGCCGCTCTAGTCAATTTATAAGAAAATAATATATATTTACATATATCTGTTTGCTCATAATGATTCGAACGCAGTAGAACATATTTAATATAATATTATCTTTATAATAAAAATCCTATTTATAATATAATTTATTTTACATCGATATTTGAAATAAGTATACACATTTTATTTACATTTTTGTACAATATTTAAGCATTTATAGTCAATCGCCTTGAATTTGACTCTATGTATAATTACTTTTGTCAAGTAAATGTACGTTTAAATATCAACAATGTAAACATTTTATAATATTACGAGTTTCCTTATTACAATCGACGATGGCATTCATAGATTCTATAAGTCCAGTATTTTTTGTGCACGCGTCGCCCTTCGCGCGTAAATGTTCCCGCTCGCGCCATATGTCGCGTGGACCGTGGGAACGCGTCGAACGCGGGCATACGCAATGTGCTCGTCTTTTCTTGATTGTCAACGCTCGAGTGCCTCAACCCTGATTATAAATCCAATCTCTTTTGATATAGAGTTCGGTTTTCAATTTCCTACACCTTTGTTTATTATATTATTAAATAAATAAATATAAAACCTCCATGGTACGGCTTAAGATTGAATTTCCGTTGAATGGACGCACTGAGTATCTCATATCCGCACATGCCCCATTGATTGAATGAGTTATGATTACTTAGGCCAAGTATCCAAGAAAACAGTGTTTATCTGTGTAATGAAGTGTTTGTAATACTAACAGGATTTTTGATAATGACAATAATGGATCTATGTATAGAAATCTGAGTAAAACTAAATGGATATACCTACTAAACGTTATAAATGTCGCTAAATATGTATATATAATATTTGCTATACTTACATATAGATAGACTTTTGTTGTATAAATAGTAGTGCTAAAGTATGTTTTTAATCAGAAACTTATTGGATTAACAAATGCAAAACTTTCACCGCATTAGATATAAAATGCTATAGCGTTTTAATGATACATATAAATATTGATATGGCAAGAAGAAAAAACGGAGGGGAGACGCGCAACTGGCGCGAGCGAGCGTGGGAACGCGACCAGTTCTCAAATAGGTAAAGAACGCCTTAGAAAAGGTGCAATTCTTTTTTGTCCGCCGCTTTTTGTCTCTAATACCAGCCGTATGGAGTAGTCGCGAGAAATTTAAAATCGGTACCAAAGAATGCAATATTTGAAGATAGCATGTTTTACCGTATTGCAAAAAAAGGTTATCGTTAAATTTTCTGCAATTTTATGCTTATTGCATTCTGTTTTTTACCAAATTGGCTTGACTTTAACTCTACCATATTTTTTTATATCTTTTCTGGCTTTTTAACATTTACTTACTATAATTTTATTCCGAAAATTTTGCAAGATTACTGCGTTCCAATTTTTTTAAACTGCTATCTATTTGTTTAAATTTACAAATAATAGAACAATAATTACACTATTTTGCATAAGAATAATTAATATAAATCAAAATAAATCATAAAATACAACTGCAAATTGCATTATACATTTTTTTCGACACGGTCACGTAAAATTCCAATACGATTTGCTAACAAAGTCGCGTCAATCAATCCATTTTTCTATTCTACACTTAACCCTAGAATGCATCTGCCGTTACAAAAGAAGCCCCCGCATTATGCCGGCACGTATTTTTTCCTGACCTCGGCCTTTATGCCCAGGGGGCGAATCGTGGGAAAGATCTTGCACAATCCACCGTTTCCTTGGGCATATGCGACAGAAAAAAGTGCAATTATTTATTCCCCTCGAAGAAAAGGGGAGTTGTGAGAACGTGACCTAACAATGCGCTTCCTGGCTTTCGATACACAATCTCACTTCTGCCGAAACGTAATTTTAGCTCTTAGCGTAACTACACAAAGATACATTCCGATAACCTGTGGCTTGTGTCGATGTTTAACAAATAATCTTAATGGTTGTTACAAAATCTATCTATAAATCGATTCTCAACCTTATGATGTTGGTATACAGTAAGAAATCCCATGTCAAATTTGCGTGTGCAATATTTACGAGCTATAAATGGAATAGTTTCTTTAATATAAAGTGATCATGTGGATAGCTTTACACGTGACCTTTAGATATACATAGATAATATGAAAATTTGATTGATCTCGCGTCAGCACGCAAATATAAGTTTTGAAATTATTACCACATGCAGTTAAACATAAAATTGCTAATATATAATTGTTTGATATACAATATTATAATTATTGATTATTACTTTTGTATCTTTAGAAGAGAAGAATAAATATACATAATATGAAAAAGCAGCAGCAGCAAAAGCTACTACATATAAAGTTGAATATAAACTATAGTCACATGTACAATGTTAATTAACAGTATATACTTAAGATAAACTGTACAAGACAATGTTCTATCTCGTTGGCATGTGACACTTTATAGTGAGCAAAGTTGTATCAAATTGGGACACAGGCAGTAAATAACCCATGCCTTGTTATTCGTTAATTAACAGTAGCCCCATTAGGTGCTGTTAATTGCTGCCTATACAAAACATGTTCACTATATGTCGTAGTTAAATAGAATCAGTGCCAGATTATATAATATATTATAGATACGTACTTATAGGTAAATGAAATTGTATTTTTTGCATTTTTAGATATTTGTGTTTATTTATATATGCAAATCTCCAGAATTACCAGCCCCATATTAAGATGTCTAACATTTCTCTAAAAGTTGTTCCTTTAGAACCCATCTAATACATAACTCAACAAGAATAGGAATAAACATCTGGCTACCGAAGATCGCAATCTTCAAGGTACTGGCTAATGCAATTAATAATTATAAACCTTTCATAATGAGCTCTAATACAAGATATTAACAACCTTGTCATAAATAGCATTAAACTCACTGATATCAAATATAATCTCAACGGCCATCTACTAGCAAGCCATTGTATAAATGTATTTAAATTTATTGCAACGAATATCTTACAAGGATTTAAAATAGTTACTTATTGCGTAGGAAGTAAACCAGTTTATAAAACATTTAAATCGGTTTCACTTATCGTAATTCTTACCGAAGTGTAAACTAAAAACGCATTTAGTACCTACCAAAAAACAGTAAGCCTTTGAAGCATAAAAACCAAATCTTATCGCCATTTAAATAATAAAAACCGCGGAAACGAGAGCAGGAAACAAAATAGGGCCAAATGCAATCCACCAAAGAAGTTTTTGCAGTGTTTTATCAATGTACAATTACATTTAAAGACGGTTTCATTTTTGGAACAATGGCGTGGCTCGAATGTTACTTAACTCTCGAAGTTATCTTTTCCGACACTTTCATTACCACGAAATCTTCAAACAGCGTTTTGCAATTGGAACGTGCTGTGCACTCGGGCACTTTATTTCATTGGCACGAGTGTCCGGAGTGGAGTCACGCGCGGGGCGGTGAGGGGGCGCGGGGCGGCGGTCCGTCGGGCCCACCGTGGGAACGCTCTGCCTTTAACGTGTCGCACGTGCTCGAGACGCTACTACAATCCAAACGAAACAGAGCGAGACAGAAAACACAATCTCCTAACGAGAAACAAGGACGCGTTAAAAGAAAAAATGACACGACAATAAAATAACAACAACCAACAATTATTTGTGAGCGCTCGAGACCGAATCCTTTGCTCGAAGACCGTGAAAGGGACTTTAAAGAATAAAACTATAATGGAGATGTTGATTTATCGCGAAGGTGTCGCTGGCGCGGCTCGTTGCTACTGTTTATGCGTTTATTATTTCGCAATCGCACGTCGGCTATTGTAATTTAACGCTTTATATGTAAGCCGTTTATTGATGTCTCGTAATCTACTGGGCGAGAAATATTTAAGTACTGGCTGAGTCAGTTTTAAAATGTGGCAACGTAACGTAATCTTAAATTATGGTGACATAAACAAGGATGGTTATAAAAAATGCCACCTCGGTCGACCTTTAGCTTGTCGTGTCCATGTGACGCGAATCTCGGCGTCGGGATCAACTTTCACGTGTCGGATTTCTTGCGAACAAGCACATTTGGCGACCACACTGACCCCGAAAGCGGCCAAATGTCGCAAAAACCAGCCATTAAGGTCTAAAGCCAGTCCTCCGTGAAACCACCGACCTGGAAATCCTACCCTTATGCCGTGATTCATAATTGCGAGTAAATTACGAGCATGAATAAGTACTAAAAAATATGACATAAACATCTTATGAAGACTTGTTATTCGAATATATTTTTATTCGTGTATAGCATATAATATTATACTGTAGTTTATTGAAGTATTATAATTGCCATGTCCTAAGGTTTAAAACGGCGAGTACGATAACATAGAATATTAAAATGAAAACTCTGATTGAATAGCCGGCTTTCTTATCTAAATGTATAATCGAAGTAGTATTCGAACTACCATAAAATATATATAAAAATTAAAAATGTATAAAAAATTTTTAATGAGTTTATGGCCCTATAAATCTATTTAATGACTGTTCTTACTTTTAACCAACTTCAAAAAAAGGAGGTTATCAATTACGTTCGTATGTATGTACTATTATTGGAACTGCAAAATATTCACATATTCTTATATATACCTATTAGGGCTTACACACAAGTTTCAGTCTTTTTTTTAAAGTCGGTTTAATTTTTGTAAATTACTGTTAAATTAATAATTTAAATCTTCAAGTAAACAAGATATAAGGTGACGTAACATAAGATTTACTTTTTGTTAAATCTCTGAAACATAATCGCCCCATCCGGCCTTTTGCAACCCGATTAATAGACTGACCTACATGGTGGACAATCTCTTCGGAGAAACTTTGAAAATTCAAGTTCGACTCTAGCCTGTAATGATAAGATTCAAAATCGATTATATATTATATAACGTATTGAAGGCTGAGATGAGCAATTTTTATTGTTAATTCAGCTATAGCATTCATTGACTTGAACTAAACCAAATAGCGAACATCCGGGGTATCTATTCACGTACTTCATTGTGCGAAACAGGAAAATGGCTTGTCTACAAATACCTTATACGTACACTAGCGGCTCACCCTCGCTTCGCTCGGGTTCGCCTCTAGGAAACACTAATAGAGATCTATTAGTTCCGACGGGAACTATTTATTTCTCCGGGATAAAAAGTAACCTGTTGTTTGACCGGCAATATAAGGTATCAGAATGTTAAATTTTACTAAATTAGGTGCATAAGTTGTTGTGTACTAAGCTGTATAAGTTATTATAGTTTTTTAACTATCCCACGAGAACTATTTAATTTTCCGGAATAAAAAGTATCTAAAATGTTGCCCAGGGATATTAAGTACCACCATGCAAATTTTCATTTAAATCGGTCCAATAGATTTGAAATTAGCCCGTACAAACAGACAAACAGACAGTGAAACAAAAAAATTGAAAAAATCTGGATTTGTTCTATTTGTCTTCTTACATCGCCCTGACTCGGTTTTTAGCATTTTTTTGATATGTACAGACATTCGACCTCTACTCTTTTATTATAGTACCTATAGATAATAGACAAATTTACAAGTTCATAGATATATTAATTGCATCGTAATTTCGAGAAATATTTGAAAATTAGAAATAAGTTGATCAAGCAAACAATTTTAAACAATTAAGAATAAGGGTTTTAGTTTTATGTAAATATGTAACTAAAAAACTTCAAAACAAAATTTCCAAAATTTCCAAACTTAGATGTTAACACTATTTATTACGCCTCTATTATTAATATTACTAATTAAGTTTCAATTAAGTCAGTCGACTTCTAAAAAGAAGTGAGTGCTCAAGTCGGGAGTATGTTTATTTGGGATTATTTTTTTCTGACACAGTAATAATTTAATGCATGGGTTTGAAATTTTTACACATCTTTCTATACGTTTAAAGAATTCAATTATCCCTTATAGGTATTCTAATTGGTATTATAAAGTATTAAAGTTTTTTACTGTATATCCAATCTATAGAAGGAGACACACAATTATAATGCAAGAATCTCGACGCATATTTAAATGATCATTGGCAGGCGTCAAGGTATATTTTCTACGGATTTTATTGATAATAAAACTTCATGCAAAAGAAATATTGCCTTGATTAAGACAGTTTTAATCTGCCACATTTAAATACTAGTTCTGATAAGGCTAGCTACTATATAAGTCTTTGTATATTTAATTCTAATCTATTCTACACATGCAGTGTTTATATGGCCGTGAATAACTTAAGTATCTAACAAAAAATCCCTGCAGTAGTAATAATATAAATGTAAAATATAAGAGTATTACAGAACCATATAGGTATATTCTTTAATAATAATAATCTTTATACATAAAAAAATAAAATTTTAAAAACCCCCTAAGCAAATTAGTTGTCATTTAACGATTACACCGGCACGCGTGAAGCTCATAATCGAGTAATCATACGCCAAAATGTCTTACATCATTTTGGAAAAGAGCTGGTTCTCTTACACTGCTAGACCGATATTAACCAAACATACCATACCACCGCAAGGAAACTGGCTTTCAAATGAAAAAAACCGCATCGAAATCGGTCCATCCGTTTGAGAGCTACGATGCCACGTACACACAGACACACAGACATCGACGTCAAACTTATAACACGTTAAAAAAGGTACAGCTTACAATATATGTTATATCTAAAGCTAAAACACTAAACACTACTAGGTACTAAACACTAGACAAAGCGCGTGAGTACCACAAGTTGATTAGCAAAATAAATGTTGTTACTCCGTAAACATTGCTAGCAAAAGTTATGTGACAAAGAAAGAATCTTAGCTATAAAAGACTATAAAAATAAATAGTTTTCTTTTATCTTTTATACCTTTACATTGTAGTTTACAATATAAGCTCTGTGTAAAAATATTTTTTATTAATATATAAACGGTAAGAGACGGTCAAAGCAATAAACATATTTTCACATTGACAATATTCCTAAGTATCTCTTCGTTTTCTTTTATAATGACCAAAGTCGTATACATAATATTAAGATTAAAAACAAATGAAAACTTACAACATTCCCTACAAAATTTGCATTTTGATAAGTAGTATAATTTATGTATAGACCACTACATCAATCGCACAAGTCATTTTCCATATATTTTTATTGGAACACAATTTGTATATCAATATAAGATTCTTAATAGATTAATTGATAAGTAAAATAAAAAGATATTATAAGATTTTATCTAAATTAACGATCGAAAATGATACTACAAGGTTATTATCTATTTATTATGCAAAATTATTAATGGTATCTGTTCGTTATATTATATACTAGCGGCTCACCCTCGCTTCGCTCGGGTTCGTCCCTAGGTTGATTCCCCATGCAAACTTTCATCCCCATTTTCACCCCCTTAAGGGATTATTTCCGGGATAAAAAGTGTCCTATGTCCTTCCCAGGGTCTCAAACTATATTTTCAAAGTTCTTCTTCCTCTTAGCAAATTTCATCTAAATTGGTTCAGTAAATCCAGAGATTACCCCATTGTATCATTTTATGTATAAACATATTATCTACTTATAATAAATTATTACTTTACATATAAAACAAAAAAAACATTATTAGTACTGATATTGATTGCTTTCATTTTTAGTCGGTACATGGTTGTTAGTAATTCTAAATTTCACTTCCGACTTTAGCATGACTAACGTCTACGATATACCTTGGACCTTGAGTATGGTTACAATGAAAACTAGCTACGCCACAACTGCTATATTAAACTATTAACAAAATCAGAGAGCAATTAGGCAAATTCAAATTCGCAATAAACTTAATTTACTCTAACTCTAACGTCTTTATGTATAAATTCAATTATCATGACGTCTCATTAATTGACTTTTTCAGCGCTACGAGCTCGGCGCTACGCTATCGCCGCGCCGGTTGCGCACGCGCAGCACACGCGAGCAGGGCCTCTCGCTCGCACATCCTCAGCACTGTGGGAAAAGACGGCAGGTGTTATGCGGGATCGTGAACAACCACGCATTACCATTCACATTATTCAACAATAAATAATAATAATAAGAAGCCGTGGAACGAGTGGCGAGCACGCGCAGCCAACGCATACTAAATATACTTGTGTGCGTGAAGTTTATTTTGTGTGCGTGTATCTCAGTTGTGGACGGTATTTTTTAGTTGGTGTGGGCGGGCGCGCGTCACGGATTTACACCGGATTAAGTTTTCTTCATTGTTTTACCATATTCGGGACCCGGGATTTACGGGATAAGCTATTTTGTAGTCTGTGGACACATTGAGTGTATAATTTAACCTGCAAAATTTTTCTAATGTTCACAATTTTTTGAGAACTATCCCATTTTGTTTTTATAGTCCGTTTGATTTATACTCATTAGCATTTTTCATATTAGTTTAGAGATAAAATACTCGATACACTTCATTAGTGTGGCGTCTGATAGTCAATTTAAATATTTGGTAGTGAATGAACATCTGACATCGTCTATCCATTCACATATATTAAATAAGAATGAATTAGGCTATATCACATTAATATTCAATGAAATACCTTAGCCGACATGTGGATTGTAAAAAAAGCGTGGGAGTCACATCTCCTACAAAGTTCCTATATCTGATAGTAAAATTAAAATAAAAAGAACTTATCTGTCACATAACTTTTTAAAGATAAAATTATTATAAGATAAAAAAATAAAAGTAGAGATAAGAAGATACAATTATAATTTATTCAACAAGATTATCCATAACTGTCACGTGCTGTAAGTATATGTATATATTTTATTTTATTTTTGTTACTGTACAATTAAGTAGTAGGTACCAAAATTGTGAAGAAAAAAATGTTAGGTAAAATCTAGAGCTTCTACCACACTCAAAAGTCAAATATGTTAAAATTTCAAATCAATCTGATAACTTTCGCATATATAGTTATTGCAGATTTGCCCAAACAGATATTTACAGAGCTTATTTAAATGTAGGTATCTACAAAAAAAACGCTTGCCATTGAACAAATCTTCCCAAGGAAATCTAGTTCTGAATAAAGGTTACACTGACAAGCTTTTGTGCTTAAATTGACATTATATCTATCATTCTCGATCATTTAAATATGTATTTCAATTAAAATAGATATTAAAAAAAAATCATATTGTTCACCTTTAGAAGCTTTTTAGCGTATTATGATTTTTTTATTAGTTACATTGGAATAGTGGTAAAAATATATAAGGAAAACCAGCAATTCTATATTTTACATCACTTTACATTGAAAATAAATAAAATCGCTTCCACATATCTATTATTAGAAACCTTGCTTAAACAAGTAAGAAATAACTACACCTCGTTTATTTTTTCTATTGATCACCGGATCACAGGAAAATCACACATGGTTTTTATTGCAATGTTTGTGTTTTGATTAGTGTGTTAAAAATGTCATGAAAGTTTAAATAAAAAAAAATGAAATATATTGTTATCACATAGATATAATTTTTGGCACGACCTTTATCTCTTTAGGGGTTAAAATTCAAAATATTAGTCGCCTAGTTCACCCGTCTTGTGATTCTTTAAATTGTAACATTTTCATTTATAAACCGATTGAAATAAAACAAACGATAAGTGAAGCTTACCATAATACATTAGTGAAAACCGCACCCAAATCTGTTAAGCTGTTTATGAGATTAACGCGCACAAACGCACTGATAAACTGATATAAATTGTAAAAAATCATTGTTTTGGGTTCTAATGCTTTAATAAAGGCCACTAATAGTAGTTTCTCTCAAATATCTTTCATGTACAGATAGCGATCGGTTACAATTTAATTATTTGTATAGATATAGATGTCATTAATCATTATAGGCACAATGTAAGTCAAGTCTGATCTCTCAATGAATTAACTTAGAAGATAAGTATTAATTTAAAATAAATTTTGCAAGGTATAATATAAAATCACGTGCCCTGAGGTAATATAAATTCGTTCATTCATCGCACACTGTCTCGTAATTATAACACTTGAGTAAATAATGACGCATCCGTGAGAATAGCGAATACTTAAAAATGCTATAACCGTTGGATATCGAGTAAAAAATAGCCTGAAACCCACCATAATACTTAAGACTAGCACTTGCTTTTTGCTCTATCTATTTTTTATAAAGTTTACTCTTTATAAAGGCAGAAGAATATATTTTGTTAATTTGTCGAGTTTGCATCCGGCAATGCAGTAATAGATGGAATATTTATCTATACATAGGTACCTATAAGAAAATCGTAACAAAGTCGAATCTGTACATTGAATATTTTTTGGAAAATCTTATTGAAATAGACCTTATTATCGTTACAGAGGCCGAATTTATAGTTTTTAGAATGTTTGTCTGTTTGTCTGTTACGGCATCACAGAAAAACCACTGAAGGGATTTTGATGAAATTTGGTATGGTGATAGCTGGTTATCCGGGTCAACATTTAAGATACTTTTTAGCGCGGGAAATGTCTCATTTCTCAGAAAAAATACGAAAACTACATTGTAAGAGTATATTAATATGTAAAACCTAAGTATTTGGTTTTTGGTCATCTAAACGCGGGCGGAGCCGCGGGCAATGCTAGTACATCTATATTTGTAAACAGTAGTTCAAAAAAGAGCCAATGGTTAATCAAATCGATTACGTGTAATCGATCACTAGTAGTGAATAAATCTCAACTAATTGATTTAATAGTAGGTAATATGATGGAATTCGGGTAACTCTACAACTTAACTTATTTCTTACAAATTTCAATACATAATTATTTTTACCGTATTATAATATATGAAATCAAGTAAATATGTATGACACTAGCAACTAGATCGAAGTACTTAGTTATGCTGATAAAAACATTTACTACAGATACTACAATATAGTGAAACGCCATTTCTTGAGAGCTTAATCAGTAATAGCACTTATTATAAATATAGTTTTTAAACGGTTAACATTTATCAAAAGGAAATTTACATTTATTAAATAAATATTTGTATGCTTTTTTATATCGTGAATGTCTAGGTCGTTGTTTTGTATGATTACATACGATGTGAGTTTTAATATGTAGAATAAATAAACGATACCAAGTCACGAACAGCTCAGCAGATTGATGGAAAGTCACAGATGAAAAATATAAATACATTAACAATCTATTCTTCTTTTTGCCTTTTATGGGCAGACATTTATTTCATTTACTAAACTTGTATTTAATAGCATATTATTTCACAAAAGTTTATTTTATAGCCAGACTCTAATCTATCTCTGTGCAATCAGTCAAAGAGTAACAAACATCCATACTTACAAACTTTCACATTTATAATATGAATACGGATGAGTACCTATTTAATTTTGTCTAGAAATACAACGAAAAAAGACGATTGAATAAAGAAAAAATAAAGCTTCTTATATCTAGTATCTACCCAACAATAATTTTAAATTATATATTTAAACTATATTGCTTATTTATGCCAATATAAACTACATTATAATAAGTGGTGTAAAGGTGCTAGCAAAAACTAAATATATGTACGTGCTAAACTAACTCTTTATAGAACTCTAGATAGTTAGGCTGTAAACTAATCAACGATAACCATCTAGGATCTTCATTATTTCAAACAGTCAATTTATTTTTTACCTTGCGAGAGGAAATGAGAAAAATAATGAGCAATCAAAGCAACATGCGCCACCACTTGGTATAATTAAACGACGCGACGTATCTCTTAAAGATACACGGCGGATCCCGACAACCTATCTATCTGTAGTTTCCTTCACCAGAGATAGACTGACATATAATGCTCTGTACAATTTCTATCACTACGAGTAAAAACCATAAACATATTATTCTAATTAGCTTATAGTAAATCTGTATAAATATTATAAATGTGAAAGTTTTTGAGTATGTATGGATGTTTGTTACTCTTTCACGCGAGAACGACTGAACGGATCTCGATTAAATTTGATACAACGATAGATTATAATCTGGAATAACACATAGGCTACTTTTATCCCGGAAAAATATACGGTTCCCGAGGGATACATTTGTTTTTGTTTTGTAGTTATAAAATATAAATTAAATGTATTTATTTGTTTTGCTTATGTTTTTACACTTATATGTGCTAAAAATTAAAGTTAGAGCGGAGTAACTATAGACATACCTATAAATAATTTTTATATTAAAATAAAATAAAAAATGTTCACAACTTTGTAAAAGCTCTTTCCGGACCTTGATTTATTACATCACTCTACCTTCTATGGAAAAGACATTAGATTCAATACCTGATAAGTGATAACTACTGATTAATATTTATATCTTAATAATTTTAATATGTACCTATTCAAGTGTCAATTTTTGTGTCCATTAATTCGGCCTACTTAAGTGAAAAGTTCTTCTGAAAATAGTAGAATATAGTACCTAGTAGCTACAAAAAGTGGGTAAAACTGCAATACGTATAAGGTGTTTTCTGACTCAGTGACTTATTTTATTGTTATTTTCAACGCTAGAAAAGATCGTAGGTTAGATTCCCGCGTTGGAAATTATGTTGACTTTCATAAAATGGACATGTTGAATAAAACATAAAATGGACGATAGGGAGACGATATTGATCAGCGAAAAAAGAAATAGTTACTTATCTATAACATCGACTGAATTTGCTAAATTTTGAATAAGTATCATTGTTTCATATATTCCCTTCTTTTGAAATGTCTACTTGATAAAGCTGAGCTTTTTTCAAAATTTACAAGAAAATATTTAAAAAAATAAATATTTTGTACAGTTACCTGCGATAAAAATATAATTATTAAAAAAAATTATAAAGCACGTAAAGTTTAATCAAAACCCATTTTATTAACTCTAATTTCGCTAACCTTTTGGAATTACGCGTTTGTTATTTCCCTATTTTGCGTCAACGGGAAAATCCGTAACTGACGTTTAAAAAAGTCACATAATTACAGATTCTCTTCAAATTTAAGTCCTTATAATTGTTATATCAATAAATCACTTTCAAATTTTCATACTTATCTACATAAATGCCAAAATATCATACAAA